AGGGATGATTGCACCTATTGTACTTATGGGGAACCTGAGGCCAGAAGTGTTTTGCCCGAGATGACACAGGCAGTGAGTAGTGGTGCCGGGATTCTTGACCCCTAAGACCAGCCTTTTCACCCACTCAGCAGCCCTGTCTTCACATGTACTGTGTTGGGTGCAGGCTGGGGTAGCTGGGAAATGAGGCCTAACCTCCAGTGCAGAGAACAGGCATTCCAGTGGAGAGGCAGATTGATTAACCAGAGTTCAACCCAGCTCTCCAGGCCTCTGGCATATGAAGACATGAGAGGCTCTTGGCAAGAAGTCCCCAAGTTAACCAAGAACCAGATAATCAAGGGCTTCACTTGTCCCACAAAGGAGTTCGGACCTTATCTAAGCGCACAGGAGGCTGGCTATTGGAAGGTCTTCACTGGAGGTGTCATAGCCAGACTTGCATTTGAGAAGTTTTCCTCTGGCCACTCCTCCAAGGAAAGATGTCTGGGAAGAGTGATGCAGGTGAGAGCAATGGGGGTTTGGTGTGTGGTGGAGGTGATGAGTGTCCAGAGATGTTCAGGCTCAATGATGACAGGAACTGGAAGTGAGAGGGGAGGAGGAACAAGGCTGACTCCTAGGTCTCTAGTATGTCAGACAGCAGTGACATTCATGGAGACAGGAGTTCTGGAGGGGCAGCAGGTCTGGGGAGAAGATGGTGAGCTCAATCTTGGATGGGTTGCATTTAATGTGCTTGTGGGTCATCCAAAGGCCACTGTAGGGCAGGCAGTTGGAGACAGGTCTGGAGCTTCGGACTCTAGTCTGGCTTAAAGAAGGTTAGCATAGAGATAGAAGTGGAACATGTGGGGGTGGCTGTGATCAGGGGAATGGCCTGAAGAGAACCTGGCACAAACCTTTCACCAAGCCATAGGATCCAAAGGCTTTCTGTAAATACAAGTTATATAGTTGAAGAAAATATTTACAAAGCATATATCTGCTACAAGACTTGTATCCAAAGCATATAAAGGACTCTTGAGAGTCAATAGATACAAACAATCTAATTATTTCAATGGACTAAAGATTTGAACACATATTTTGCCAAAGAAGATATATGAATAGAAAATTAGGACATGAAAAGATGCTCAACATCATTAGTCATTATGGACATTGAAATTACAACCACAGTATACACCACTGCATGTCTATTAGAATGGCCAAAAGAGACTGATACTACCAAGTGTTGGCAAGGATATGGGGGAAACGGAACTATCATATACTTCTGGTGGGATTATAAAACAGTACAACCATTTGGCAGTTTTTTAAAAAAGTTATACACGTATCCCATGATCTAGGCATTTTACTCCTGAGTATTGACAAGATTGAATTTTACCTTAGCTCTGTGCTCCTAGAAATAGTAAAGGTCAAGGAATCTTTCCACCCTTTGTGTTCCGGGAAACAACTCACTGGAAAGAACTGCTCTTTACCGTAGGACGTGTATAAGGCTCCTCGTTCTCGCTTGTGTGCCCATGGCAAGGCCAGACACAGACCCTGCAGATGTCATTCCTTGCCTCATAAATGATCAGTGGGAACAAAATGCTTGTTAACCAAACTTTGGTTAAGATTCTCTCCTTCCCCAGGCACGTGAGCTTTGGCCCACCCTCAGCCTGAGCCAGCAACAGCCCTGCAGAGGACCTCCTGAGAGTGGGCTGGCC